CTTCAATACCCTAATTTAATAATGATTTCTATCCTTTCCTGTTGGAACCCACCTAACTTTCTGGTTCCTTTTATTGGCCCACATCCTGGCTTCTGGTTCATTGCTTCAGATTTGAGCTGTAGTGTATTTGCCATTGGTCAATGGCAAATAAAAACATGTAGCTAAAAAAATTTCTTTCTTTTAACAGCCTCCAGTGAAGTATCAATAACATGAGAATAGAGAACAAGTTTTCCCTTTTCTATTTACATGTGTTATATGTATCTCATGATTCTGTGCTGTTTCTACTTGCCTCATTTATTGCTTGACCTTTGAAAGGTAATGACTTGCCATTATTTTTGTAGGTCTGCAAGCTTGTCCCTGTTTCCTGCTCTTCAGACCTTTAGCCCTTAACTGAATAGTTTCATCTGCTACACTTGATATGGCTGCAGTAGCTTTTCACTTGATACAAGTGTCTGTTGTTGATTCAGATTGTGCTCCAAAGTGGCCTTGAATATCCAACCATCTCCATGTGAGAGCAACTATAATATAGTGATAACAACATTTTTGTCCCCTAGTTCAAAGGAGCTAATTCAGAGTGACTTTGATTTGGTGGAGATAGTCATTATAATTATTGAATATTGTTTATTATGAGGTTTAGAGAAGACATTAATGCCAGTCATTCCCTGAAAAAACAGCAAAGTTGTTACGTTCAGACCTTGTAGTATGTAGTATGTGACTCTTCTTTGCCAGAAATACCTTCCATAAATGTTTTATAATAGGTCTATGAAGAGGGGCCCATTTGTACTCTTTAGAATATAAGAAAACAAAGTGGTAAAACAAACTACAGCCACTCTAGGTTAATAATAATCTTCTGAATCTCCAACTTGAAGAACGAGACCTAAGAAAGGATTTAAAAATAAAAATGAAGGATGGGTCGTTTTATCAGTGTAACTTAGTCCAACTAATATTTGGAGGCATTGAAATGTCTTTTATTTTTGTCCAAAGCCTTCCTTCTTACTAATTATAGCCCTGTAGTTCATGAGATTTGTTTGGAACATGATGAGCTCTGTATTTATTGTAGCTTTAAATGGACAGTCATTATTGACTGCCAACTTAGTCTTTAAAATCAATAATCACATTGCACCTAATTGTCAACCTTCATGATCTTTTTTAATTGGTGAAGAAAACTAACTAGAAAAATGAAGAGCATTAATTTTTTTATGTTATCTCTTTGCTGACTTTATTTAAATATTACCAAAAATTTTGGTTTCAGGTTTTTCCTAATTTACTTTTTACACATGCATGCACAGAATTAAAATTAAGTTGTTTGAACACATCCACCTAGATTCCTGCCCAGGTGGGAGAAGTTCTGCCTCTTTATGTTTGGAAAATAAACCTCTTCAGTAGTCCTTTGTAGATGTTCTGTATTGTGGTTGTTTGTTATGATTGTTTTTTACTTGAGACTGATAATCTGTTTGCAACTGACTGAGACAGAAAAATGTGATGTTCCTTTCCACTCACTCCAGATTTTGATAGAAGACTTGTTTTATTTATTTCCAAAATTATATCCGCAGGAAACAAGCTGTTTAAATTCAGATTATGCTGAAGCAAAATGGTCCTGGTATGAGAAGCAACGTGCTGTTTTACGAGCACAGAGTCCCTTTTCTCATAACTGATTGATAGTAAATATTTTCCTGAAGAATTATTGCCAACCATGAACAGTGCAACGGTTTCACTTTTTTTTCGTGCTACTTGCTGTACCAGCCATTGTCGGTAATTAAGATCTACAATTCACAATGCAGACGTTTGCACTTCCTCTGGGTCTGCGCTATTTATAAGGCATTTCAGCTGTTCAGAGTTTCTTTTGAGTTTTAAACTACATGTTAACAGGCTTCTTTAATACACTGTTCCACAAGTAGCATGTCAAATGGGCCATTCTTTGCACAGGCCTCTCTTTCGGGTCTAAACATTAGCTTTGTGGAGAATATGTTAAGATTTAACCATATCGTCGAGGCCAGTGAGGTTGGAAAAACTCTGGAATATAACATGTTACACATTACCATATTGCTATTTCAAAAAGGCAGGAATAAAGTTCAGATAGTACTATTTTTTTCTTTCATTTTCAAATGGGTCATATGATTTTAATGAGTGTTAATGGGAGTTATAGAGAGGTTCTGAGAAATACTAGTAAAGTGACTTTTCCCAGCTCACTTTGAGGTAATACTCAGGGACCATTGTTATAAACAAGAGTTTATGTGTTTGTCAGGTTAAGGATGCAGGAACATAAAACCTTCTAGATGTGCATGATATTTAGGAATACAGACTGGGACACCAAAGTGGATCAGCAGATCGACTGCACATTTGTTGTATAATCATCTTCAGGAACCCTAAGTAGCATATGCCGTTGGAGAGGAAAGTGTGAACAGGAATCCTGGTCTGAATTAATTTGGTAAAATTTAAGATCATTTTCAACCATTTCAAGAGAGTTAATTGCAAAAGAAAAAAAGAGAAGTCCAGACCCCAGTGAGCATCTTCATGAATTATGCCCTTGAGTGAGAGAACTGCTTACACAGTCTCCTTACTACCTGCACTCATTGCTAAACATACTGGAGAAAGAAACAAGAAGCAGAAAGCTGTCAACAAAATATGTGTAAAACTTTGCCACAAGTGGGGATCAGACTGGCTGTGTTAAGCCTGAAGCCAGCTGCGTTGATTCTACATGTTGGCCGCCAGCATCTTCCGGCAGAGCAGACCTTCAGAGAAAGGCAGACACGGGTTTCCATGCTGATTCTTGATGGGCCCTTGAATATAGACAGAGCTTCAAACAAAGCCTTTCCAAGGCAGTTTTATTTGCCAGAACCTGAAACTTTCTGTAGTTCTTTTGAACTGCAATGTTTCTGTAAACTTTTTTTCCTCAGTGAACTCTTTATGAACCTTTTTTTTAAGATAGCAGCAGTGGTTCAACTGCTGGGAACCACTGATACATCTGACTGAGGCACTTCAAGACACTAGGACCTATTCACATTTCTCTCTAGCCAGGGAGCTAATAAGATTAAGTTTGTCTTTGTGGATTGGTCCAGATTAGCAGGAGATGAGCCCAGTCAGTGTTTTCCTCAGTGAAAAAGGAAAGGTTGGAAGAGAGAGGGGTGAAGGAAGAAAGTTCTTCATCAAGAATTGACTGCAGTATTGCCTGCTGATGCATGTCGGATCACCCGCATCGAGAGATCACATGGCTTCTCCAAAAGTCAAACGATCAATTCGCCTCGTTTTGGCTCTGTACTTAATGCACAAACAGTGCGATCTGCGGGGCTGTAATTGCATTGTTAGGGCCAAGGAACAAGCCTGTGCCTTTTCAGCAGACAGCTGGCAGGGAGAGAGGCATGTTGTTAGGAAAGAGAGAGGCAAGGCAAATAAAATTACTGCTAACGCTCAGAGATCGGCAGGAGTCCTACTTGCCTAATCTTACCGGTGGGAGCAAGCGGCTGTTGTAATCCAATTATAGCAGCATAAGCAATTTGTTAGACACTCCGCATAATGTAACAATTTCCCAATAAACTCTGACTTGTAATAACGTCGGCAAGAGTCCGCATAAATCTGCCCGAATGGTGGGGGCTGGAGCGTTCGGCTGGGGGCTTGTAATTGGCGCCATCAGCACGTTTTGTGGAGTGCAGTATGGTGCAGTCTTTTAGTGCAGGAATTTTAAGGAGAAAAGCATGGCACACGTTTCTTAGAAAAAGGAAAGTGGCCATTAAAAGGGGAGCAGCAAGAAGGGCATACTCTTGCCTTCACGTTACCTAGGAGCGTTAGTGTAGAAAGAAAACAGGAGGAAGCCATGTTTCCTTCAATACTAAAGGGGGAGAAGGGGGAAGAGTATGCGGACTAAATTTCTTTTTTAAAAAGCATCAGTTTATATTATTTATACCCCCCTTCTCCAGTCCCCCAAAATGCTGTTCAGGCAGCATTCAGCTAACATTTTTACAAAATGTTCATAGCCAGACAAGACTAGAAATGCCAAGTTTAAATCTGTTTTCTTCTAGCGTTTAGCATTTTCTTTACAACAGGAAAATATATTTTCTTTGTGCACAGAATAAATCTTTTAATTATCTCATTGACTATCAAACCTTTCTGTAGAGTTCTGTCTTCCGCTTTAAGAAACCGTCTCTTACTGAAGGATTTAAAACCTAGCTTGTTTGCTTATTTTCTATTCCACAATATATTGTGAATGTCTGTGATCCTAGGGTTAGTCATCTTTCTTGTTGAATGTTTACATTGTACAAGAATACAGTTTTTCTTATTTAAAACCATACCTGTATGATCATTATAGAAATAATTTTGATTCCTAAGTCATAAAATTTCTGTTTTGGAAAAATATTTGTTGTTATGTGGAGCAGAATAGAACCTCCATTATTGATTGATTGATTAGCGTTTGTAGTCACAGTATAGAGTTTATTTATACAAGGTATAGGAGGTGAGGAGTGCTCCTAGATTTGTGTTAATAGACAGATTTTCATGCTACTGAGTGTGTATTAAATGTTACCTACTTTCTTATGCCAACCCAACTCTTCATTGTTGTTAATTTGTGTCAAAACAAAGCTTCTGAAATAAGAACAGGATTATTCAAAATATCATGTTGCTGTGGGTATTATTACACTAAATATTTACTTTCAGTATAAACACTTCCTTCTACTGAAGCAAATGCTGCCTTGTTTGACTGGAGCTACATCAATAAACTGCAGTGCCTCTAATAAAGCCACTCAGTGTCTGGGTTTAACTAATGGCTGATTTTCATGGCTTTGACAGTGAGCTGTGTGCGTTATTTTCTCCTGATATTGTAAAAATAATGAGAGCAAATTAGAACAATCAGTTTACACAGATAGCTCCTGATTGGAGGCGATGGGCAATATGGCAGCAGGTAATCCATCTTCGGGCTCCTGTCACATTAACTTCAGCAGTGTGAAAAGATCAGGTGGGGTAAGCAGGGATCCTGCCCAATCGGAACACTGAAATTAATGAGAAGAGCATTGTTCTGTGATCAACCTTTTAATTAGCAAGATTGGAAACGCAGGGAGTGATGAAGGCAGCACCACAGCTGCACAGTGCCAGGCACAATTCCTGAAAGGGGGAAGAAAGAAAAAAATCTGTGGGTTTTACATCATATTTTTGTTGCTGTATACAGGCATTATGTTTCCACTCGAGAGCTGGTTTACAGACTTTACTGCCTACTTTGCAAAGTAATTAGTCACAAATGTAGTTGATGTATTAGTGATCTATAGGCTGTAATTCTGTCAGGGGTCATTTAGGTTTTGATTACCAGTATACTTTCTTTGGCATTGCACATTGGGTTTTAATTTTTTATTTTTTTCTAATCAAGGAAGCAAAGAAATCAAATTTTAAGAAGGTCTTTCTGGTCAACCTCCCACCACCCAATCCCTCCAGTTTATAGAGTTTTTCTTGCAAGTAGCATGAGAGTTTTCTGGTTTGGAGCACTTTTGTCACTTGGAGTTATTTACAAGGGGTGCAAAGTCCAGGCAGTAAGCTAAGGCATATTTAAATTGTGTTCCTTTCCTGGTTCTGTTTATTAGGAAAATAACTGTTTTTCCCCCTGCCATTGACTTCTCAGTGTTGAGGGCTGTGCTATTTCAATTTATATAATTGAGAATTGAATATCAATGAAGTATGGTGTTTATAGGAGGAAGGGGGGTGGAATCTATGCAGTGACTGAGACTAGAGGCTGATTCATTCATTTAAAGCTCAGTTATACTAAAATTGAAACCTTGTTAATTATCCCTGTAATATTGGAAAATGTGGTATAAAGCTATGGAAGATATTAATGAGCCAGATTTTCCCTGCCATATCAGTGCCTGTTTTCTAGGCCTACTTTGACAGGCTTTAGCTTTGGGAAAGGTATGAGGTTTTCAGTATTTTAATCTTTATACCTTAAGCTTAATTGCTTAGTGTAAAAGCAAGAATATAATGTATGATATGTAAATGAATCCAGTTATCTTCCAAAGACTATAAAATAAATTTGTGGGTTTTTTTATATTAACAGTTAATTGACTTAGGCATTTATTTAAAGTACTAATACATAGGGGCGCCTCAGTCTGTTAAGTGTCTGCCTTCTGCTCAGGTCATGATCCCAGAGTCCTGGGATCGAGCCTCAGGTTGGGCTTCCTGCTCAGCAGGGACATCTGTTTCTCCCTCTCCCCCTGCTTGTGCTTTCTTGTTTGCTCACTCTCTCAAATAAATAAAATATTTAAAAAAAAAATTAAAAAACATAAAGTAAGAACACATAAAAACCAGTTATCAGGTACCCATCTGAGTGCAGAATTAACAGTAAAGAGCCTAAAGTATAGTATGAAATATTGAGGTTAGGTGTCATAGTTATAGTTAATAGTTAATAGAACTTTTTTCATTTTATTTATAACTAATGGAGATTCTAGCCTTACAGCCCTAAGATGCTATATTTATAGAAAGTAAGTCCTTGATATTATACCCCTATGCAAAACCTATAGAATAAAGGCACTTCACTTCCCTGTAGTACCCATCTCCCACCCCCTTCCCCCCCAAAATCTTTAGTATACATTTTGGAATTCTGTCAGAAACCTGATTTTTGGTTTGGTTTGGTTTTTTGATTGATAGCAAGCTTTTCCTGAAAATACCATCTTCAGTATTTTAGGATCAGTGACTTAATATTAAATAGTCTCTAGGACATCCCCCCCGCCCACACACACACACTCTAAGAGAATGGTGCTACTGTGCATATTAATATTTTAAAGCCCACGTGTAGAATTTTGGGTGATACTTTTCTACATTGCTTAATCTGGAAGAGAGATTTTTATACTTACAGCTTTTATGAATTTTTGTGCCTGTTCATTTTCCTCTCTCCTAGTTTGACAGAAGCCTGGGCTCATAAGCTGTCCATGGATGCGTTCTTAGTCATATGGTGTAAATAGATCACTTACAAAGCTTGTGTAACTTGAGCTCTCCTTTTGAGCCTTTCAGTACGCATGAGCTCAGGATCCATATATGTAAAATCTTACTCTTGTGTCATGACTTCAGCTTGTAAGGCAAATGAGCTATGAATTTACATGACTATTCTACTCTATACCAACTTTCTATAAAATAAAATTAGTCTTTTTCCTTTTTTTCCTATGATTCTGGATTTCCATCTGACCTAGTGATCTTGCCAATATTTGTTCTTGTTGTTAGAGTTCTTTTCCAGTAAGATTTGCTCTTCAAGGTCAGTGTTAAATAAAAGTCTCTTTTTTGAGGGCATCTTTTTTTGGTATATATTAGTAATTACAGAATGTCTAACTAGCTGAATGACCAAGAAACTCCTTTTTGTTTCCTAACAGAGCTAGAATTACCAAGTCACCTTAAATTCTACTAATCCCAAATCTCATGAATAGGGTTCACTTTAGAGAAATTTTCATTAGTCTAGTCCTTTGGAGCTCACCTAATACACCTTTATTTAAAGTTCTTATGTATAGGACCAGTTGAATCTCTGATGCTGTTACAGTCCTTTCTAAGTTCCCCATCCCCCTGATTTTTAGTTTAGCAATACGTTCCTATATAAAAAATTGGAAGGGGTGCCTGGGTGGCTCAGTAGGTTAAGCATCAGCTTTTGGCTCAGGTCATGATCCTGGGATCAAGCCCCATGTTGGGGCTCCCTGCCCAGTGGGTAGTCTGCTTCTCCCTCTACCTCCTCCCCCACTCGTTGTCTCACTTTCTCTCAAATAAATAAAATCTTAAAAAAAAGAATTGGAAAATGGCCATTTTTTACTCCTGTATCTTCAGGATAGAAGACCTTTTTTTTTTCCCCTTCCACTTTGTACTCCTCAAGAGTTTGAGGAGGAGAGAGAATATGTTAATATTTACTAAGCCCTATGTTTAGGCACTACAGTGCTGGCTGTGTTATCTATTTCTTTCTTTCTTTCTTTCTTTTTTTTAAGATTCTATTTATTTGTTTGACAGAGAGCAAGAGAGCACAAGCAGGGGGAGCAGCAGAGGGAGAGGGAAAAGCAGGCCCCCGTTCGGCAGGGAACCTGACACAAGGCTCCATCCCAGGACCCTGGGATCATGACCTGAGCTGAAGGCAGACGCTTGCTTAACCGACTGAGCCACTCAGGTGCTCCAAGAATATGTTAATATTTATTAAGCCTGATGTTTAGGCTCTATAGTGCTAGCTGTGTTATCTATTTCAGACCTTATGTGAACCTGATAAGATGGATGCATATCCCCTATTTTATAGATAAGGAATCTGAAACTTAGAGAAGTTAAGCCTTTTCCTAAGTTTTCACATCCCTAAGATGTAGTGTCAAGTTTTGAACTCCAATCTCTCTGACTTTAGGGTCCTTTCTGTACTACACCAGGTTGCCTTTCAAATAGTATTTGGAGGCCCTATAGATCTCTCCTACCATTATACTTGGCTTCACACTACAAAGCACCTATAGCTTTTTTCCATTTGATTTCTGTAACACTTTTGACATCTAGCAAATGTTATTTCTTCATCTCTCCTTTATTGCTTGTAAGATATGTTGGTCTGACTGAACTGAGCCAAATACTGTATTCAGAAAACTTAACTATCTCTATTCTAGGCTACCTAGTCAGTAATTCTGCTATGTAACTTCAAATGCTTACTCAATAATAATCACCTACCTTATCAACATAGGTCTTTAAAGTATCTAAGATGACCTCATGGCTCCATGCTCCATGTTCTACATATAAAATGAGTGGAACAGTATGAGTCCAATACAGCCAGCTCAAGGTGGTGACTCACACCTTCCTAATTGTTTTAGAAGTTGTTTTGGAATACAGATCTCATCCTATTGTCTGTGTCAGGATTTACATTGTAAGTATATATTGGCAGTTCTTTTATACCAAAACTTTATTTTTCCTGATTAAGATTGGTTATTAATTTTGTCAATTAAAAAAAAGTTTCCCTTAAGGCTTCCAAGCATGAAAACACTTCAGTAAATATTTTTATATTTGTTTACATGCATCTAGATAGATTGGTGATTGCAAAGATATGGTAAGGATATCAGAATTAATAGTTGGACCTTAAAATCCTCTGTTTCAGAGAGGAGAGAAGCAGCTTGGGAGAGGAGTGAGTCATTATAAAGAAACATTGAAAGCAAATGAAAACAAAAAGCAAACAGACATGACTATTAGCATGTACACACACATAGAATCTCCCTGCATATTCTCTAATGGAAAGAATAGAAGTTTTTGATAGTTATGGTTGACATAAATTTCATGCTCAGACTTGTAAAAATATGTAAGAAATACTTGGCTCACATGGAGCACTAAGACTATGACAAACAGGAATGTTGAAATATTTCTAGAAGAGTGAACTAAATGTAATTATATTTTATGTCAGACATCATTTCTTTATAGACATTTTCTTGGAATATCTAATAGCATAAGGAATTTAATTGTAAAGTTTTGTTTTGTTTTTTAAACCTAAGAGCAAGCCAGAAGGGAAATATACAGAGAAAAACGTGTTTAAAAAGAGATGGTTCCTACAGTGTTAACTATGGAGTGTGTAGCGTGACTCTGTAATGGAATATCATGGTAGGGGGTATAATACTGTAAATAAGATGAATATGCCACTTGTGGATTAATGGGCAACCTAAAGAGTGGCTTTATTTACATCTATGTGTGAGGTTCTTTTTCATTTTGTCTGTTTTCTGTTATTCTTGTGATTGGAATGCTTAGAACCTGACAGTTTTATTAGGGAACTTTTGAAAAAAAAAAAAATCCGTTTCCTTGAATCTTGCTTTATGTGTTTTTTGTAGGATTAGTATAGTGTCATTTTTTACCTTAAAATTGATAGGTTGGTGGAGTTTTTATTAACTTTTTCTCTGGGTGATATTTAAGGAAGAGGTGGGTTCTGAAATTAAGTCCAAGAAATATAGCTATCCTTTATATTTTGTTATGAACATTAAGGAGCAGGTAACAGGCACCACATGTATCCACATTGCAATAGATTCCATTTGAGGTGATAACAGTTTTGTGAATATAGGATGTTTTTGAAAGGTTTGGGTACTGAGTCATGTAAACGATTACATCTAGACTGGGACACTTACGTAGGAGCCATTATCTCAGCATTATAACATGAGAACATGCAATAAGGGTAAATTCTAAGTGAGAGCTTTTTATAACTAACTTTTTGGTATACTCTTTAGGTTGCTGTGGATTGCCAATTAATACTATTATTTAGTGCTCTTGAAACTTCAGAAGTGTGAGACTTAGATTGTTATTTACTTCCTGCTTCTCCTCAGTTGAAAATGTGTAAAACAGGTTCTTTATAAAAGGCAAATGGTATGCAAAAGTAAATTCAAAAGAGTTTGAATGGAACTAATGTTCACTTGCAGAAGGTCCATTCTCAAATTCTATTTGGTGAGTCTAATTGACTTCCAAACAAAAAAAATTGTAAAATATATTTTTTGAAGTATTAAGATTGTGTTATCAAATTTGATAGCCTTTTGCACCATTATTTATTGAATATTTACAATGTGCCAAACGCTGGGTTAAGGGTATTACACTCTTAACTTAAATCCTCGCAACAGTCTCATGAAGCATTCAACCCCGTTTTGCATACAAATAAATTAGAGAGATCAAGCAACTTGCCCAAGTTATGTTGCAGAACTGGAATTTGAACCCATACCGGCCCCATAGCCATGTACTTTCAACCACTGTGGTTTGTGAATTTTAGTACATAGAAATTAGGGTGTGTGTGTGTGTGTGTGTGTGTATGTGTGTTGGGGTAGGGGGTTAATCTAAATAAAGTTCTCTGTGGTGCCTATTAAATGTTAACAATTTACTAACAAGTAGCCAGGATTTGGAAAACACAGAAGTATGAAAATTGGCTGTATAAAATTAAGATATAGTAGTAATACATTTTAGTTTGTAATCTTCTCTTGCACTTACAGTGTTTTTCCTTTTCAGTATTCCAGTGAGATGATAAAAATTAAAAATACCTCAATTAGCAACCGCAAAAAAGTAAAACTGTTAATTGAACCTTGTAATCTCCTCTTGCTGTCTGTTAGGTTTTTCTTTGCAGGCTTTGATTGTGTGTAATAAAACTGTTGCTTAATTAATGCCAGGGTTCTGAAGCCTTTGGATGCCACAAAAGAAAGTGGAGAAACCAAGAGGCAGCATCAAATAGCTTTTCTGTCATGTTAATTTAGATCTGTCATTCTTGTCCCAGTTCATGATATAGAGCTCCCAACAGAGACTGGGTGAATTGAAAGAGAAGCAATAGTGAATCCTGTCTTAGGAAAAACACAAGTCATGACTGAGGCTCTCAGTAGGTTAATGAAGAACTGTTTTCAGACAATATTTCACCCCTAGTTTGAGCTGCCCTTGGAATGCATGTGGCTGTATTCATGTGACCAGCAGATGTGATGCAAAACCAAACTAATTGGTGATGTGGCATCATGGCTTTGTGGTATGTGCAGGAAAGATCCAGGACTGATGATGTCCATTGTGTACTATCATTGCAGAAAGCTGCTTGTGTGTAACCAGAGCGTGAGAGAGAACATCCTACTGACTTGTATTAATTTCTATTCAGAATGCTGAAAAACAAAATGGTAAAAATTTCCTTGGAAATTGGTAAAGTCTCCTTTATTTATGGACACACTTTTTTAGGAATCCGTAAGCTTGAAAAGAAAAAAAAAAGGTTGATAAGAAATGTTTGTTCATATTATCACTAAAAAAATTTGTTTCTTAATTTTAGAATGCAGAGTAATGAATAACACTAACAGTCTTCACTAAAATGAATTTACTTTTAAGGTGACTCTTTACATTCTCTTCTTTTTTCATTCTTTCATCCTCCCTCCTTGATTCAAGGAACTTTTTATTAGCTGGTTTTATATTTGTATTTTAACAAGAGTGTTGGAAAGCAGTGTTTCTTTCAGGGTGGG